CTTCGGTCTTTAGTGTTTAATGCATCAAATCTGTTCTTCAGATGGTCTCTAAATTCAGGGTCATATTTTGGCTCTCGTGGACTTGGTTTCATTTTCTTCAGCTTCAGTTTGAATTTGGAAGCTTATTATGAAGAAAATTTCAGAATATTGAAAACTGAATTCGTGAGAAAAAGGCCAGGAAAGCTGAGTTGAGGTGTGTGTTTTTTTTGTTTTTTGTTTTTTCCTATCATGATAATGAACCTGCTCATTCTTAGAGGGTAATAAGGGCTGGCCTGGGGGAATTTCATTGAGAAACCTTACTCTGACCTTGCCCCTTTAGACTCTTTTGTTCTCAGAGCTCAAAGAACATTTAAAAGGATCATGATTTGAGTCCCTCATGGATGCCAAAATTGCCATTTTGAAGAAGTCTAAATCAAAGTCTCAGAATTCTTCAAGGAAGGCTTATGGTGGTGGTTAAGTGCTGTTAAGTCGGTTCTGACTAATTGTCATTGTTATGTGCCGTGGAGTCGGTTCTGACTCATAGTGACCGGGTTTTTGAGGCTGTTAATCTTTACAGGAGCAGACCGCCTCATCTTTCTCCCGTGGAGCAGCTGGTAGTTTCGAACTGCTGACCTTGTGATTCACAGCCCGATTCGTAACCACTACGCTATGTTGTTGTTGTTAAGTGCTGTCGAGTCGGTTTCGACCCATAGCGACCCTGTACAGGGTTTCCGAGGCTGTAAATCTTTACGGAAGTAGAAAGCCTGATCTTTCTCCCGTGGAGCAGCTGGTAGTTTCGAACCGCTGACCTTAAGGTTCGCAGCCCGATTCGTAACCACTACGCTATAGCGACCCTATATAGGGTTTCTGAGGAGTGGCTGATGGGTTTGAACCACCCACCTTGCAGTTAGCAGTTCAGGGAAGGGTTATGCACTACTTTTACAAGTGTATAGACCTGGGTGGAGGACATTTAAAGAAACAATAGTTCACATTTTGATGTTTTTGTTTAATAAAGATTTCTATGATTTTATAGAGCTACTTTTTTACTTGTATATCTCCATAGGCTAAATTTTCTTTTTTAAAAAGCTTTTTATTGTAAATTGAGTGAAGGTTTACAGACAAGAGCATCAGCTTTACATCCAACAAATCATGCACTTTGTTTTCATCTCAATGATTCCAGTCCCCTCCAGGCAACAACAGTTCTCCTGCCTCCTCCCTGTAGTTCCTGTTTGCATTCCATCCCCCCACCTCCGCTGCTCCATGATTGACCATTCCAGGGTAGTGGTGATCTATTTGTATTTTTTAACAACCTCTCAACATCCTATAGATTGAGAGGGGTTGGTGTCATGGAGTGGTACAAGTACTTGATTGCCAACCGTCCATCCAAAAGCACCTTGGAAGAAAGGCTTGGAGATCTCCTTCTGAAATAGCAGCCATTGAAAACAGCATGGAGCACAGTTCCACTCTCACACATGGAATTTCCATGAGTTGGAATGGATGTCAGCTGATTCCAGGGTTGACAAACTTCTTCCGTTTAAAGGCATAGACGATACATGTGTTTAATTTTATAGCCTGTGTAATCTCTGTTTCAGCTGCTCAACAGTTGTTGTTGTTGTTAAGTACTATGGAGTCAGTTCCGACTCATAGTGACCCTGCACAGGATTTCCAAGGTTGTCAATCTTTATGGGAGCAGAACACCTCATCTTTCTCTGCAGAACTGCTGGTAGTTTTGAACTGCCGACTTTAAAGTTAGCAGCCCGATTTGTAACCACTACACTACCTTAGCTGCTCAACAATGCTTCTGCATAAATCATATGTAAAACAATGGGTGTCCCTGTGTGCCAATAAAACTATGGACTCATGGATCTCATATAATTTTTATGTCATGATATGCTATTTTTAAATATTTTCAACCATTAAAAAAAAAATCTTGGATGACAGGCCATTCACAAACATGCTGTTTGGACACCAGGACGCCTGCTAAAGATTGGGTAGTTTCCACTTCAACTTTCCTCCAGCCCATCATAAGTAATATTCAAGGACTGTGTAGATGAATAATATTTTATTTTTTTCCCTTTTAATCCATTCAAATGAAGCATGTCTCAATCTAAACTCCAAGGTATCTCCTGTCTTCCTGGACCCTCACGTTGTGTAACACCTGCAAGTTTACCTAAGCAGAAACCTTTGAGTTAGTCTCAAAGTTTACACTCAACTGTATTCAGTGCATTGGATGGTCAGTGACAGATTTGCTGAGCCTGCCTTTTAATCGTATAATTGTTGTTAAGTGCCTTTGAGTCGTTTCCGACCCATAGCAACCCTGTACAGGGTTTCCGAGGGTGTAAATCTTTACGGGAGTAGAAAGCCTGATCTTTCTCCCGCGGAGCAGCTGGTAGTTTCGAACTAGGGGTTCTCAAACTTTGTGCACTCGTGGGGTCTTTTGAAAGAAGCTAGGTCTAAGGAGAGCTGGGAGTGTGTTTATAGTGAGCCACAGGTGGCACTGTAGGATAAGCACTGGACTACTAACTGCAGGGTATATAGTTCAAACCCATCAGCTGCTCTATGGAAACCCTATACAGGCTCGCTATGAGTTGGAACCTACTTCACGTAACTTAACAGGTAATTCTGAGGGCAATGCTGATGCATGTCAGAGGACTCGACCTTGAGAAACACTGTTCTAATGAGGTGCTGGGAACTTGTCCCTGCATTTAATCTTCTCAGCGCCACTGTGAAGTGTTACTTAACAGGTAATTCTGAGGGCAATTGTGATGCATGTCAGAGGACTCGACCTTGAGAAACACTATTCTAATGAGGTGCTGTGATCTTGTCCCTGCATTTAATCCTCTCAGCGCCACTGTGAAGTGTTTATCCGTAGTTTAGAAATGAAAAAAACTGGGCTCCTGCCCAGGTAACGACGCACATTTTCTTAGGTTCCCTGACCTGGGCTCCATCATCTGCACCTGGAGATATAAGTCGTGGGTTGCATGCTTGCGGGGAGGCAAGGTGGCAGAAAAAAGCAAACGAAGGCCGTTCCATTTAATTTCTCTACGGGGAATACTGGCGGAACCAGGGCTCTCTCGGAACCTTTTGCGTGAGGAGACCAGGATCCGGGGAATTATAGTCTTGAAGGACCCAGGGTTGCAGAGGGACAGTTCAGCTGAAGGACACCATCGTTTTAACTTTATGTCTCCCGGAAGTTGCTCCTCCGAGTCTCTTCCTTTAATCACGCCCGTGGGCTGCAGCTGAAGCGATGGCAGCGGTAGCTGCTGGGCCTGGGCTTGGATCTGGACCGGGAGACTCCCCGGAGGAGCCAGAAGCGTCAGAGAGGCGGCGGAAGGCGCACGGGATGCTAAAACTTTACTATGGCCTCTCGGAGGGAGAGGCAGCGGGGAGACCCACAGGGCCGGACCCCCTGGACCCGACAGATCTCAACGGAGCGCACTTCGATCCGGAAGTGTATCTGGACAAGGTGTGGGGGGCCCCAGGGCCCCGATATATTGCACCCCTATATCATGTTTGCTTCCGACGTTGTGGTGTGGCGGGGAGGAGGGGAGCCGGAGTTAAACCCTAGGAAGATGACTCTCATTCCGAGATTGTGGCAGAGGAGGCGCCTAAGGGGGCGTAGGCAAGTTTGAACGAGGCTGAGGAATCCCGGGCCCGGTGTGTTGAAAGGGCGGGACGGGGCCTGGGCACGGACCTGCGCCAGGCTGGGGATAGGCTGAGTCTGAAGATTTTTGGTGCTGACACACCATATGTTGAACCTGGTAATCCCCGAGCCATGCACTTTACAGACCCCAAGTGTGGTATTCCTGATAGGGGTGAGCTTTCTCGCATCAGAAGCTACCAGTTGGAGACAAGGCTTGGGGACATGAGTGTCCCCTGGCCAGAAAAACTAACCATCCGACTTCCTGCAGCTGCGTAGGGAGTGCCCCCTGGCCCAGCTGATGGACAGTGAAACGGACATGGTGCGGCAGATCCGGGCTCTAGACAGCGACATGCAGACCTTGGTCTATGAGAACTACAACAAGTTCATCTCTGCCACAGGTGACCCCATTGGGCCGCACTCTCTCGTTGGCACAGAGTCCCAGTTCCTCCCCTTCCCCTGTGCTGGGAGAGGTAAACGGGGATTTAGGGGGAGGAAAGCCAGATTCTGGTCTTACACTGGCCTGGATCCACTTTCTCCTGCCCCTTTCTGAGCTTTTGTGGTCAGACTGACCACACAACTGTAGGGGTATTATCTGCCCTCAGAAGGTTGTTTTGAAGACCAAAGGGGAGGAAGGATAACGTGAGGTTTTTTTAAATGAAACTAATTTACCTGAAGCAATGAAAAGAATTCTTTATACCAAGGACGCCCCAGTACGGGGTGGTGGTGGTGGTGGTGGCTGTCTGCTGTGGAGTCGGTTCCGACTCAGCGACCCTGTACCGGGTTTCTGAGGCTGTAAATCTTTACGGGAGCAGAGCTCCTCATCTTTTTCGCGCGGAACAGCTGGTAGTTTCGAACTGCTGACCTTGTGGTTTGCAGCCTGATTTGTAACCACTACGCTGTAGTTTTCCTTTTTTATGGGAGCTTTCTTCTCTGGTCCAGACTTTCCTTGAGGATGACTTTTTCTTTCTTTTCTTTTCTTTTCTTTTTTTTTAAATTAAAGAGACAAAGTTTATAAAGGGATGCCAAAGACCATGTCAAAGTGTTTCTTTTTTTTTTTTTTGCCGCCTCTTTATTCTGTATCCATGACTGTACTAGGCAATGTACTGCTGACTTCTACGCTAGCTTCTGCTCTCTGTTTGTGAGGGAGGGGCCTAGCCCTGGGATACCCTGACATTAAACTATCAGGATGAGATCTGAGGACAGAGCCCCGGGAATCTCAGCATTCAGAAGTAGGGGAGTGGAAGAAGATCTCACAAATGGAGCAAGCAGCTAGGTGATTTGAGGACATCCAGGAGTATGGATGTCTTTGAAGTAAATGAATAAAGCATCCCAAGAAAGTAGAATCTATCAGCTGGTTGAAATACTAATGAGATTAGTGTGGGATGGAGTGCTTACTGATGACGCAAAAGAAAGAAAACTATTGGGGCAAAGGTCTCAGGAAGGAGAGAAGGGACGAGTGGAACACAGGGAACGGGGTTGGCTTTGGCAAGGGTGTGAGAGCTCATGCACTGTAGCGGGAGGAGAAGTAAAGTGGGCCCTCAGGCAGATAGGCAGGTGTGGTGGAGTTTTAACTGGAGACCTTCCAGAGCATGTGAAGGGATTTTGCCATTATCCATAGAAGGCTAAGACAATCAAGTACCGAGGCAGAGAAGTGATGTGGTTAGGTGAGTGTTTTAAAAAGATCCTCTGGCTGCAGTGGGAGGAATGGATTGGAGAGGTTTCAGGACTGAGGCAGTTTCATTGGTCAGGGATCCTGGAGCTTATGGCAGGATGGAGTTGGTGGAGATGGACAGTGATGGTCAACACTGACAGGTCTTAGTGTTGGTGAACTTCGCCTGTAAAGAATGACTCTGCTTTTTGAGCATTGGATGATAGATAGGTGTGGTGCTCAAAAGCCACACAAGGATCAGGTTTGCAAGAGAGCATATAGTGAGGTAGGTTTCTGTTGTTGTTAAAGGAGGAACATGATAATGAAATAAGCCCGGAGGCATCTGTGAGTCCAGATTGTGAGGGCCCTTCTAGACCATGAGACGGATTTACATCTTTACCATAAAAGTTGTATAAATCCATGTCAGATCTCAAGTTAGAAAGAGCTTTGGGGAAATCTAGTCCAACCCATAACTCATTTCTTTCTTCAGAGTATTTCTAATGAGTGATCCTATGGTTCATGCTGGAGGTGGGGAATGTTTATCTATGGAGTGAAAATAACTTGAAGTGAGTTTGGTTTTGAGGTGTTTGGAATCATGCAAAAGAAGTTGACTGGCAGGCAGATGCATATGTGGATCAGGAACTCAGATGAGAGGGAGTCTGGGAGTCGGCTACAAAGAGTAAGCATAAAGGAAAGTGTGGGTGAGCCCGCTCACATAGGGTAGAGTGAGCCAGAGCTGGGCCTTGAGCATGGGACAGAGCCTTAGGAAGTATGTTTGTTGATGACATTGTGGAAGAGGATGAGTCTGCAATAAAGACAGAAGTGGTTGGAGACCGAGTGTGTTGTCAGCATGAGTGTACATTCATTCATCTGATCCATTCATTCAGTAATTCATCAAACATTTGATTGCCTGTTTGTGCTTGGCATTGTTCTAGGCACAGAGAGATAGCAGTGAATAAGACAAACTCTCATCTGTCATGGAATGAACATTCTAAAGAAGGAGACCGATAGTAAATAAGATTAGAGCCAATCATTTTGCTTTTAACAAGTTAAATGAATAATTTCTTCTAGAAGGATCAACACAAAGCTGGTTCCTATGAGGCAGAAGTTAAATATCTAACTTTTCCAGATTGATGTACTACTTCATCATCTCTAACATCAACTATTCCTCCTCTCCTGAATACTCTGCCTACTGTCTTTGGGTTCCAGTTTGCTGCAGTGTCTCAGAACTTGTGAACAAACCATCAAGGAAATGACTCAATAGGTGTGGAGGCTGGCAAGTCCCAAATCTGTGGATCAGGTGCCAGGCTGGAGGTTTCTCTTGACTCATGTGGTTGCAGGGGCTGCTGAACCCATGTTGGCAGACCATAGAACAGGCTGCTGGCTCACAAGGCTGCAAGATGATAGTCTACTGGCTCAGGTTCTAAGAACTGGAGGCCAGATAATGACAAGCCAGATGAAGGATTCAGAGCAAGAGAAGGAACTCTCCCAGAGCATTTGGATATATTGGATGAAGACCATACACTCAAGGAAATGCCCTTAGTTGAGCAAGGTGGTGCAAGGGTGGGTGTGACTTGGGTGGTGACTTGAGTCACACTCTTTATTAAGGCGGTGACTCAAGATATATCCCATCCTAATCCTGCCTCAGAGTCCTGGTGTGGCACTGCGGGCTAATGCGCTGGACAGCAAAGTCAGCTTGAACCACAAAGTTGGCGGTTCAAGCTCACCAGCTGCTCCTTGGAAACCATATACAGGGTCATCATGGGTTGGAAAGGACTCTATGGCACTTGACAACGACAATCCTGCCTCATTAACATAATGGGCAGTTCACTCCCAAATGGGATCATAACTAGGATTTACAATGCATCACAAACTAGAGGATGGGAGATAGAGGACAGCTACATATTTGTATAACTGCTACATTATATAATTGCATAACTGCCAGACCATTGAAGATCTTGGTCCAGCCAAGCTAACACACCTTCACAGTTTCCATATGCCTTATTTGCATAAGCAAGTTGTCCGATCCCTTTCATAGTCCACAAGCATCTTGTTTGCCTCCCCTCACTTAATCATTGTGTGGGAACCACAAAGACTATGCCAAGAAGGGCCATATTAAAAGTATCACACAAGTTCTGTGGAGAAAAACAGAAAAATAAGAGTTAGTGAGGACAGTTTTAGGAAGGGTGACTGAAAAAAAGGCAGCGCCTTAGCAGGTGTCACCTGAGGAGATTCCAATTACAGTGAATGACAATGAGTTGGGCATAGGAGGATCTGGGAACAAAGTGAGCCAGGCTGAGGAAAGAGCTCTAGCAAAGTCAGGGACAGGTATCTGAGCAGAGCAATGGTTATGAAGGCGGCAGAGTCTGACCATAAAGAGCCTAGATCAGGATCAGCAAACTTTCTGAAAGGGACCAGATTGTAACCACTTTTAAGCTTTAGGGGCCATCTGGTCTCTTGCAACTATTCAACTTTGCTATTTAGCCTGAAGACTTTCACAAACAATATGGCAATGAATTAAGTATTTTTCAGTAAAACTTTTATTGACACACAGACAGATGCCAGGGTGATGTCAGCAAAAATGTCATTGTAAATTCCTTCAAAACTTCTCTGTAAAAGCATTGAAAACACTGGGGAAAATTGTCATAATCAACTCTTGCAGAACTCTGGAAATTAACCAAATGCTTACAGTAGCCAGGAGAGCATTTATTTTAAAACAAATAGATGAATCTTGGTAAGAACAGTGAGTTCTGTGGCATTTTAGCTTGCCCTAATCCTAGTCCCTGCTCTCCAGCTCAATGGTAGCCTTGGAACATAATAGCCTGTATGCCTGGTACTGGAGGGAGCCGAAGAGAACTGGCGTTCTTTCAAACCCTCGTGTCTAAAGAGTTGCTAGTATTTGATCTGTCTGTTGGTTAACCTAACTTGGAGCCCATCCAGTGCTATAAGAGAAAAGGGGGCAGAAAGAAAAACACTGTAGACATCTGTTATGGGTTGAACTATATGCCCCTCTCCTCTTCCTCGAATATGTGTCAACTTGGGATACACCAGGATTCTCAGTGTTATATAATTAACCTCCATTTTGTGATGATGCAGTTATCCTATGTGTTAAATGTTAACTTCTATGATGGGGCGTAGCCAAGTTGATACATATTTTGGGGGAACACAATTCAATCCATGACAGATGGCTATAATTAAACAAAAAAGTCAAGAAGGAAAATAACTGCTGGTGAGGATATGGAGAATTTAGAATCCCCATCCTTTGCGGGTGGGAATGCAAAATGGTGCTGCCACTGTGGAAAACAGCTTGGTGGTTCCTCTAAAAGTTCAACACAGTTATCATCTGAGCCAACAATTCCACAAAAACTGTATATATGTTTTCATGCTGTTGTTAGGTGTTATCAAGTTGATTCTGACTCATAGCAACAACATGTGAGAGTAGAATTGCCCCATAGAGTTTTCTATATTGAAATCTTTTGGAAGCAGATTGCTGGATCTTTCTCCCATGGAGCCTCTGGGTGGGTTTGAAATCACCAATCTCTGGGTTACTAACTGAGTGCTTAACCTTTGTACCACCAGGACTCCTTCAGGTTTTCATGTTGTTAGGTGCT